TAAAAAGAGATTAGGTGATGCTTGGATTGCTCCGGTAAATTATCTACTGTATTTATTATTACGTGGATATTTAAATTATTTAACAATTTCTTCGATTTTTTTTTCTAAAAAAAAAAGTTAGATGCACTATAATGGTATTTAGATGATCCCGAAATAACTCCTGATCTAAACCCAAATAATATAAATTAAAAAATATATTGCTGAAGCGATTAGTGGTTTTATTTTTGCTGCTATGACAACCACATCTAATGCTGCTACTCATGCTTTATACGGTCTGTCATATTCTATTTTCATTATAAAATCCTTTAAAAAACTTTAATTCTAATTATTTGTATTTGTTTGAATATTAGATTTAATAGAAAGAAAACAACAATATTAGCAAGAATTATATCAGGAGACTCAGGAAATTAATAAACAGTATAATGGAATTGAGCTTATATCTGATTATATTTCTAGATGGTGAAGTTAGATAGTTTTGTTAAAGAATCTTTAAGATTTCTGGTAGTATAGTTGATTTGCTACACAAATGTCTTTCTAAATCATATTATACATTTGCAAATGGATATCAAATTCCAAGTGGTAATGATTTTTCTTAATTTTATATTCTCTAATCTTCAAGCTATACCAAATTTCTTAACTATTTAAAATCATAAGTCGCTTAGTTATGATAAATTTCAGTGACACAAATAATGACGAATAACTTCAAGGTCAAAATCCTGCAGAATTCTATGCACATCGTCATTTGGAACATAATTCTCCCGCGACAAAAATTGAGCGTAATTTTTTGGCATTTCGAGGCGGAAAACATGCATGTCCGGGTAGAGCTTTAGCTGTTAATGTGATTAAAGTGTTTTTACATAAAGTTATGGTAAAATATAATATTATGACAGGTACTTGAGATATTAAAAGAAAATATTTGGGACCTATATTTGGGCTGAGAAAAGCTGGAATTGTGTTTGTGAATAGAAATGAAACTTTAAATTAAAAGTTATAACATTATGTTATAAAGGTTGTTGGTATGAGGAATATAAAAATGAATTTAATGATTTTCTTTCACACTCGTTATAATGTAGTAATTGGACTGAGAATTATTCCGTTATAATGCATAATAATAGAAATTTTAAATTGTTCCATAGAATCACTGTTAAAATGATGTATCCGTTATAATGAGGGTGAACTGTATCTTATCTTTTTTTTTTTTTTATTGTATATGGATAAACATAAATATTCAAAATTATATTAATATGTGAATTTACTCTGATAATTAACCTATAAATTACATATTTTTTAAACATTTATCATTTTAATACTACTAGGAAAGTTCACTTAAAGAAGCTTATGTATTGCTACAAAATAATGCAAAGAGTGAAATTTTGAATATTGGCCTTATTTAAGTAACCCCCTAGTATGCCACCACGATTAGTTACGTAATCGTTGTTTAAAACCTGAGATTTTCTGATAGGTTAACGAAAAGTTATCATTATATAAAAAATTTTTATTATTTCAAGAAAAAGTGTTTATTCGAATTTTATTTGATAACAATTATTACCTTAGTTTAAATACCATGTTGTAAATTTTTTTGCGTTAAGTGTTTACAATATTCGAAATTTACTTCTGTATTTGTAAACTTTTATTACCTAACTTACATACTATATCATAAAATGTTCATGAAGCTAAGTTTACCAATAAGAAAGATTGTATTTTGTGTGTTTATGGTTCTTGGAAGTTTTACACTTGGTTTAGATTCTTAATATCGTTGTTACGTAACCTTAGGTACAAGTTGATCTTGTACTTCTCAGGAATGTCAGTTGGGATGTGTAGGTTTCCCGATGTAGATATCAATATTGAGTATTAATTCCTAGAATTAACCCTAAGTCCGATAGATTCACTTCGGAAGGCAGATGTCTTCGGTAGATCGTTGGATCATCCAATGTCATTCAATGATTCCCCACATGTATATAAATGCTAGTTTCCTCCCGATGTAAAGGTAAGAAGTGTATGCCCTTTGAACTCTTCTCGCAATAAAGAGAATTCTCATGAATCGTTCCTCTTAATAAATTGCCTGCCTAAATGCCCAAGTACATAAATGTATAATAATCCTAGGAATCTTGAGTTTTATCCCGACCATAAGTAATGCCTAATAAAATTATGACCATAACCTGAATCTATACAAGTATCAACCCTGCCCTCCCGCTAACATCGTCTATCATCTTTTGAATTGGCGTAAAATTTGGTTCAATATTTTTCAACAAGACTTTCAAGAAGATCAAATACCTATATCAGAATAGTATCGATATCAAATTTAGATATCTTATTTATTATACGGCATAATTTAATTTGATAAAAACAATAAATATGTTATATTTAATAAAGAAATTTTTGTATTGATCTATAATTTCCAATTCGCTTTCTTCTTCACATGATTCGTCATCTTCTATAACATTATTATCGTTGCCAAGAACAAACAGTTGAAGTAATCATTATAGGAAGTTGTGCATTATCAGGTTGTAATATAGGTGGCATCATGAATAAATTTCAAAGGCTATTATAATTGCATTAAATTCAATTCTTGCATTCTCTTCTTCTATAGTATCTATAGATTTTTTACAATAAATTACATCTTCGATATCTTCAGGTTCTATAGACACCATCATTGTCATTACTATCTTCATTTTCACTGTTACTCTACATAACTGCTATATGATTTTAATAAGCAGAAAAAAAATAAACATAATAAAGATAATGACGTTCATTAATTAAATTTTTTATTGTTCCATAAACTTTTTGAATATTTCATAGCATCATTCCTCACGATACTTAACGGAAAAATGGAATTAAAAGAAAAATGGAAAAATTATTTCATAGCTGGTAAATAGAAGAAGCAATTGTAGATTTTAAAAAATTGGACCAAATTACACAATTTCTTCAAAATATTGAGATGCATCTTACGGAAAATTACAAAAGTATAAAGATGATTTGAAGATTTAACAATCTGTAGAAATTGATCCAAATGTCACGTTTTCATTACAATACTGAGGAGCAACTTACCATATGTTGAAAAAATATGATAAAGCTTTTGAATATTTGAATAAAGTATTAAATTTTGATATAAAGAATGAAATCGCATTATAGAATAGAGAGAAATTTATTTTGGCTAGATAAAATTCGATGAATCACTTGTAGATTTAAATAAAGCTTTAAAAATCAAAACAAATAATACAAAGACACTAGGAAGTCGTAGTAAAACTTATCGTAGCATGAATAAATATGTAGAACTCTTTTGGATTTAAATAAATCGTTGGAACTTTTGAATATAATAAACCAAATGAATTTGTACATTTAAATATATAAAATGACAAGTTAGCGTTTGCTGATTTTAATAAAGTATTAGAACTCTATTTAAATAAAATATATATATTGAGAAGTTGTGGTGAATGCTATCACTTTATGGAAAGGTAAGATGATGTTCTTGCTGATTTAAATAAATTACAATAAATCATTGGAATTTAAAAATATGTGGACGCTCTTGTCGATTTAAATAAAGCAATTTAAATTGAACCAAAATTGAAACAATTGATAAATCAACGTTAAGACTTATAATTCACTGCCGACATTTAAAAGGTCGATCTATCTAAAAAATATATATTAGTAATAATAGCATACTTTAATAGCCTTTTTTATTATATTTGATTTAAAAAACAATTGCAATTGAAAAAATCAATTATTAACTATCATTGAAGCATTAGTCAAAATTTGGACGTTCAACAGGGTTGCTTACTAAAACAAGCTTAACCGTTAATAAGTATGAAAAAATTGTACCAAAATTTTTGTTGGATAATATTCTTACCGACAACTACTAATTTAGCATTTATTGGTTTAGGGAGATTTTGATATTTTAAAAGCCGACTTGTGTAATTAGCCTGTGGATGTGTCCGGTAATTGATTCTTGTTGATTTGACTTGATTATAGTTGAGGTGTTTTTGCCCGAGTCTTTAATTTCTTTAACATGTTTATATAATTCAGATTTCTTTTCTTTCAAATCATTAAAAAATTGGTTAAGCTGATTAGCTAATTCTTTAGCAATTGGTCTGTTATGAGGTTCAACGTCCAAACATTTATTCATTAAATCTAAAAGTAATTGAGAAACTTCGCATCTAATTTTAGGTCTATAACCTAGACAAATACGTTTTGCTAGATCTTCATTGTGTGGAATATCATGATATGGCGGATATCCAGTAAAAACCTCTGACATAATTATTCCGAAAGAATAAATATCTGATTTTTGAGTGTATTCTTTTCCATTTGTATACAATACTTCTGGAGCAATATATGGAAGTACACCAAAAAATTCTTTAGAATTTGAGTCTTGCGACACCGGCTTACATAAGCCGAAATCAGTAATATAACTATGAAAATATCTCGATTAACTATATTTGCACAAAGCCCCATAGCTATATAATATAAATTCTTAGTTATTCGATAAATCGCAATTGCCAAATTGCCGCCATGTTTATGTTGATTTTCAACCCAAATATTAGAATAAATAATAATTGTCGCAGATTAAAATGAAATCAGATTAAAATGAAACAGGGGACCTCTCTTACTCCTCTTTAAAGCTTATAAAACCCATTTATACTCTTTTATTAATAAACCTAACATTAAACCCTAACCCTAACCCTAAAAAATGTCCCCTAAAATTTTTTAAATCGTCCTAAAAAAAATAAAAATTTCATTTTAATCTAATTTCATTTTAATCTGTCACAATAAATTATATAAATGCTTACTTCTTTCAAAAATGCTTGTTTTAACTCTTTTGAATTATCTAGGCTTTTTAAACAAACATTTCTTTGTGCTATTCGTTCCCATACATTCTTTTGATAATTAAATCTTGTAATGTAAATTGATTAAAAGGAATCCATTCAATTATGTCACTAAATTTCTTTGCATTAAGTTGCGTTTGTTGAATAAAATTATAGGAAACTATACATATCATAGTTAAGATGCTATACTGGAATTTTCACACATCAATTATTAATTCACCGACCAATTATGAATTAGGTGGTATAGATAGATAGATAAGCGTCACGAGATTTTTAATTTACAAATTTGGTAGTAATCAATTTAAAACTAACTGGCTTTCGGTTGCCCGCATAACAAATGTAACAAATGTCGTAATTAATTTTTCGACTTGGAACATGTTACAAGTCACATTTCGGATCTAATCCAATCAAAAACGTTAAAACATACAAACCCAGAATTAAATTATATAACAATAATATATATTGATAGAAGGGTATACAGTTACACACACGGGTTCATATTTAAATCCCGTGCCTTCGGCACGGAATATGAACCCGTGTGTAACTAGGCTATTCATACATGTCCATAAAATAACTATAAATAATAGTATTAAATCGAAGATCATGGAACATATTTGGGCTTAAAAAATCGACCGACTTAGTCGGTTAAGTCGACCAAGTCGACTAATACTAACATTACATTGAATAATAGTTGCCACCTTTACAACGTACACGTACGTACGTACGTATGTACGTACAACCCAATTTACTATTCGTTAACTTAAAAGATGTGAACCGTTACACGAATTGCCATTAGGATTCTCAGTGTACGGGTGTACAGAAAAATGTAGAAATTAACATAAATAGCGAAAAACTGACAATAATCAATTACAAGATGGATTCCTTAATTGAAACAACGATCGAAGAATATGGAATCCATATTTGTAATTATTATGAATTTACAAACGTCGAAAAGATTGATGAAGGCGGATATGGCACGATACAAAAAGCATATTGGAAACCTCGTGGATTAACAGTTGCATTGAAAAGTCTTAAAGTTGGAGTTGAGGAAACCGTTGCTAAAGCATTTATAAATGAGGTTAGTTACTATGACCTTTTTTTTTTATAAAATTTTACACCAAATATCATCTACGGATATACTTTTGCATTATGTTAATATATTTATTTATGCAAAAGTAGTTCGAAGAGTGAGCGGATTATTTACTTATAATTATACCAAACCAAAAAATTTAGCTAAAGATACTGTTTAATATCACGAAGAACTATCATCCTAATATAAATCAATTTCATGGAATAGCTAAAGATAATGAGAAATATTATTTAATCCTACAATATGCGAATAATGGCAATTTACGAGATTATTTAACGAAATCTAAAGAACTTTCTTGGAATGACAAATTACGTATGGCAATAGAAATTGCGAATGGTCTGATACATTTGCATGAGAATCAACAAAAAATTATTCATAGAGATCTGGTAAGGATTATATTAAAAAATATATCTCGTTTTCAATTAGACTGTACCGAATCCCATGATTTCTTCGGAATATTTTATTGAAACTCTATTGTAATAGCTTTGCATTTCGACAAATTCATTGTTAGTATAAATATTATAAAGCTGTGACTATGTTATATTTTAGCTTTATGGAACTTCAATTTTCAATAATGTCAGCTTTGAATATAAATGCGCTTTGCAATTTTATTTACAACACTAAAATATAATGTTGTAATCATAGATTTATGCAATTTTAAGGATCAAAATTAAAAAATTTGAAAAGAATTTAACGAGTTCAATATTATCTCTTTTACAGCATTCTAAGAATATATTAGTAAATAATGGAACAATGATGATAGCCGATTTTGGTATATCAAAAGAATCGAAAAACCAAATGATGACTACAAGAGGTGATACAGGTCCTGGCATACCCGCTTACATGGACCCCAAATTCCTTTCCGATCACAAATATCGGCGTGATGAAAAATCCGATGTCTACAGTTTTGGAGTTCTTCTCTGGGAAATTTCAAGCTGTCGGCAGCCTTTTGCATCCTGTACAGGCAGAGATGAAGTAATATATAAGATTTTTCGTGGAATGAGGGAGACACCAGTGGAAGGTACACCAAAAGAATATGTTAATCTGTACATACGTTGTTGGGATGAGGAACCGGACAATCGACCTAGTACCCAAGAAGCGTTTGAAATTCTACAGCAACTGTTTTCGGGAGGGAAAGAGAATGAACAGGAATCTCGAGAAATTTCATTGATTGAAACTCTTCCAACAATTTTTAGTGAATCTCAAGAAATTTCAGAATTACCTTCATATTTAACTCTTTCAACAATTTCTAGTTCACAAGAAGAATTTAAAGACTATTTAATAAAAAAAGAAAAGTTTGACATTATTGCTAAATGGATTGATCAGTCATCCCAAAAATCTAAATTTAATATTATGAGGCTTTTTTCGTCAACTAATTCCTACGATTATGAATTTAAATTGCTACTAAAAGGTAGTCGTGATGGATTTACCCCGGATGTCTTCCATAAAAAATGTGATAACCAAGGACCTACTTTAACAATCTTGAAAGTTAAGGATGAGAATGAAATTTTGGGCGGATACAATCCATTTAGTTGGGAATCACCAATTGAAGAAAAATATTATTACACAAATAAAAGTTTTCTTTTTAAACTTTTCGATAATTCAGATAGATTTATACTTAGTAGAACAAAGAATTATGAATCTATTAAATCATCAATTTTGTATGGACCATATTTTCGAAGCGATTTAAGGATGGAAAACAATTTTAACAATTATGGTTGTTCTTGCTATCGCTGGTATTATGATAAGCAAATTAGAGAATCAGAAGATAATTTTTCAGTAGATGAATATGAGGTTTTCAAAGTCATAAAAAAGCCTAAAGAGAAACATAAAGAGAATGCTGGTAACAAATGAAAAAAAACACATATATTCATATAAATTATTGTCGTTTCTGAAGCTTAAAAGATTGAAATCTTAATTTTATAGATAATTCAACAGAGAAAACAAAACCACCAAATAATAAACTATTCATAAATAATGCAATAGAGAGAACAGAAAAATTACGAAATTTTTCCGTGGATAATAAGAGAGGTTATCTTGAAGAGAGTGAAATTATTTATAAGTAGGTATAAATTCCTGAATTCAGTAATAATAAAGTTATCAGTGAATATTTGTATTGTGAAATGTTAAATATAATCTATGTTTATTATTAAGCAAATTAGAAGTTCCAGATGCGCATATAGAAGAAACTAGGCAGTGAGTATAAAATTTGTTCACAGAAAATTTACCAAAAGAATTCACCATTAGATATTATTATCCCGTTCTTTCATTTTACCAACAGAGCTCAATTATTAAATTATATCATTATAAAGATTCATTACTTCACATATGTGTTAAATTATTAGAGAGTAAGTGTAAAATTTATTTATTGAAGTTTTCTATCAAATATATATTGTTTATAATATGCTTATTGAATTTCATTAAAACTTTTCCGCTATTCATGTTATTCATGCATAAAATTAATAGTTCGTGAGTATAGATTTTATAGTAAAAATATTTAGCTCGTTTGAATTCTAAACATACATTTATTTACTCTCAGGGAGTAAGTATATAATATGTCTTTCTCATAAATTAAATATCTATTCAAAATTATCTTTATTATAATGGACAAATAACCAGAGAGTGAGTATAATTTTGTTCTAAACCGATTAATTACCACCAATAAAACAGCTTTAATACCTCTTTATTTAGAGAGTGCGTATCAATCCTTCTATAATTAATAGATATGTTTAAATATACCATTAATATTTATTATATTATGCTAATTTATAAGGGAGTAAGTATGTTCAAGTTTGTTCAAATTTAGTTTAGTATAACCACACCATCTAAATGTCATGAAATTAAGTATTACATAGTACCACAAAGTGATTGGTCCTCTTTAGGAATATAGGCAAGATTTTCAAAAATATGCATTTAGGGAGTGTGCATTTGCGAAGGGTATTTAAAGAATTCTATAAGCCTAGCATGAATTTAGGGATGGTATTAGAGATGGGTTCCGGTCAACTATCGGTAAACCACGAACGGTTATCGACTCTTAGCCGGTTAACCGTATTAGTTATACGGCTAATAACCTTAATTAAGAAGCAATATAAATGTACACTAAGACAGGGTTGACAATGGAGTCAATGGAGCCCAATGGTTACGCGAATGGAATTCAAAAAACTAGTATCCATTGGGCTCCATTGAGCTCCATTGCCAACCCTACCCTAAGAGTATATAACTTTATGTTGATGGTTTGATAAAGTTCGATGAGCCAAATCAGTCTACCACCGTGTAGGGTGTGACAAATATAGAGTGACGTGATTTTGGCTATGTATTATTCTTCACGCCAATATTCGTCACACTACATTTGTCACTCCCAAAATGGAAAAATTCCAAGTGCCACAAATATCATTTAAATTAAAATCCAGCATCAGTTATAATTTTAGTCGGTCGACTAAACTATTCTGAATGACTAGAATTGACTACAGCTATAGCAGCCGCCTACCGTATAACGCGAAATAACGCACAGGGGCGTTAGTTTGAATTTTGGCCCGAATTAAGCATAATTGAGGACGAAAATTGAAATTACGCCCTTGCGCGTTATTTCGCGGTTGTGTGGCAAGCGAAAATTAACCAATTCCTGGATGGTATACGTTAGGGTTGGATCGGTCCGATCCGGTCTGTCCTAATAAGACCGGTCCCAATAAAATCTATGGTTCGGTTCAGTTCAGTTCGGTCCACGTCTCAAAATAAGCTATTTTCACGTCAATTTTTAGGTTTTTAACTGTTTAAAAGGTTATTTATAGCTTTTTTTTAAAAAAACTAATTTAAAGCTTATTTTAATAGTTTATTCTTAACCGAAAACCGAAGATCATATAATCGGTTAAAAAGACCGGTCCTTAACTAGTCTTCTCAGGACCGATCCAACCCTAGTATGCTTACATAATGCGTGAATTAGAGATTGTACCCGGGTAGACATTTTTATTATATGGCTATAATTAATAACGGAAATGCAATTGGGACATATTATCTTGGACATTGCTATGAAAATGGAATAGGAATAGGAGTTAAAAAAGATATAACGAGAGCATTCAAATTTTATCAAAAATCTGCTGATATGGGACATATAGGTGGAATATATAATGTTGGGCGTTGTTATGAAAATTGAATAGGAGTAGAAAAAGATACAATTAAGGCATTCGAATATTATCAAAAATCTGCAGCTACCGGACATATAGATGGAATATATATCGTTGGACGATGCTATGAAAATGGAATAGGAGTTGAAAAGAATATGAAGAATGCATTCGAATATTATCAAATATCAACAGACATGGAACATGCTGATGGAACATACAATCTTGGGCGTTGTTATAAAAATGGGATAGAAGTTGAAAAGGACATAAAGAAGGCATTCGAATATTATCAAAAATCAACGGACATGGGACAAGCTGATGGAACATATAATCTTGGACGTTGTTATGAAAATGGAATAGGAGTTGAAAAAAATATAAAGAAGGCATTCGAATATTATCAAA